TCATCCCCACTTGTGCCCCCCCCCGCCTCCCAGCCTCTGCCGGTGGATTTCCGTGTCGTTCAGCGGCTTCGAGGTAGGTGTTCGTTCCCGCTCTGTCTCCGAGCGACCTGGTCAGTAAAAGCCCTCTCTCCCAGGCACATGGGGTGTGCGTGCTCTGTCCCCACACCCCGGTCCCTTTTTTGTCCCCATTTTTTTTATTTCCCCCTCCCTCCCCCCTCTGTTTACTATGTGCTATGGACATCTCCCCCTCTCCCAACCCCTGGCTGCTGCTTGGCCACATCCAGCCAGAGGAACACCATGCCCTTCCTCGCAGACACCCCTTGACCTGCTCAGCACGGCCTCAAGGTGCAAAAATCCAGCTCCTGTGGCTTCCTCCGAAAATTGCAACTCTCCCGGGGCAGCAGGCGCCCAGGTGGGACCGAACACTTCAACGCTCGTCTCTTGAAACCCCGACCGCAGCTTTTGGAACAGGGAGACCAAGGTCCAGCTTCCCACGTCGGGCAGGGCTCTCCGCACAACCGAACATCAGCCGGTCGCTGTGCCGCATCGCATTCGGCGGCCGGTTGGCCGTAGGAGTCACGACAAGCCACCAAACGCTTCTGCAACCCATCGACGCAGGTGACGGAGCAAGCCTCCCAGCCACCCGCCGCCCACTTGTAGGAGGGACGTTTGTAGCTCGGTCTCCCACCGTCCAAGCGGTTGGAAAGGCTGAGAACGCTGTTGTTGAGGTCCGGTGGGGTCTTGCCCTCTTTCTTGTAGGAGGACTTGTCCTCCTTGCTCTCCTTGGGGAGGTAGAAGGAGTAGCGTACCCGAGGAGGGGTCATCTTCCCCACGGAGAGCACCTCCAAAGTCAGGGGTTCCTGGATAGGCTTGAAGGCTTGGAGGCTCTCGACGGCGGTGCCGGTGCCGCTGTACCGCAAGACGCTGCCCTTCACCATCAGGTCCCTCTCCACGGCAGAGACGATGAAGTGGAGGTACTTGCCCTGCCCGTTTTTCAACGCCAGGTAGTTGTCGTCGCTGATCAGCCCTTTGTAGCCCCGCTGCCTGATGTCGATGTTGGAGGCACCCGCGGGGATGACCACCACGAAATTGTAGCCGTGCCTGGAAGAGAAAAGCAGGCAGGACAGGCCATCAGGCAAGGGGGACATCCCACTACGACATGGCCTCAGCCCGAAGCTCTGCAGCTACAGCCCTGAGATCTTCCCGCCCCTACAATTTTCTCCTCCTTCCCATGAAGATCATTTTGAATCTCCTCCCTACGCTGAGTTTCACCTAGGCTGAGGTCACCCAGATATGGGAAGATGCTTCAGCTCCTCTGGCTCAACAGTACGGATATACCGGAGAAAACTCCATCAGCAGAAGCCGACAGCACGTTAAATGTGTCCTCCTTGTCCTTCAGAGCTAGCCGAGGTCTCCATGCAGTGATGTACACTAGCACGGGGAGAGTTTGCTCAGGATGGACTTAGACCCCGTCACCGTCTCCGTGACCTTCCCACATCCACCCCAAAAAGCAGAGCTGGGACAGAAGGAAGCGCACGTGGTCACCTCACACTTACATGGGTTTGGTGAACAAGCCTGAGACCTTCTTGCAGCTCTTGTTATCTCCTCCACAGACGCTGCATTTATCAAACTTCTTCTTGGAGCCCAGCTTCCCATCGCAGCCCGCTTTGATGCATTTGCCCTGGACGCAGACCGAGGTGGAGTCTGGGGAGCAAGGGGTGCCATCCACAACCTGCACGAGGGTGAGCAAAACAAGCCCTTGCATTTCCCTCTGCCACCCCACGAACCCCGCCAGCTGTGACCATCCGACCCGGGGCTACCCGAATCCCTCCGACAGGTCCTGAGGAGATGCTAGCAGGCACCGTGTCACCCTTCGCTCACGCTCTGCTTTGCAGTTGGGATTTTTGGGGTCACTGAGAAGAGATGGGTGGGACTACATCCCTTTTCTGCCGCACCTACGTGACTTTCTGCCTTTTCCTTTGCATCGGTGCGAAGGGAACAGGCTGCACTGGGGACACAGCTAACATCATCCCGCTCAGTCCTGTGTCCAGCCGCCTGCCCTGTCCAGCACGCACATTGTTTCCCCAGCACTGCAATTATCACCCTCTATTTCAGGACTATAGGTGTATCCCAGAGGCACCTATACAAACCCAGAGGAAGACCCTCCACAGACCATTTCCAGCCCTGAAATAAAGAAGCGGACACCCAAAGACCGATTCATACCAGCCTGGTGGATTCCTCTCCTCTACAACCTCATCTAACACCAGCTGCCCACCAGACAAGGAAAATTCCTTGATTTCCAGGTACGCTGGAGTCATCCTACAGGCCAGATTCTGACCCTGGACGTCTCTCACCCACCTTGGGTGCCAGCACGTAGAAGTAACCGGTACCGTTAGCCCGGCAGATGAGCTTGCATTTATCCCGGGGCGAGACGCCGGAGTATTTGGGGACCCAGGAGACGGAGGCGGTGAGGCGGTTGTTAGCCGTTGAAAGCCTCACACTGCTCCTCGCGAAAGCTCTTCCCCGGCACTGGAAAAAATAGGAATGTGCATGGGATTGGGGACCAGCCTGGACCTCCGGCTCCTGTTTTATGGGATTGTTCTAGGTCATGCACACAACCATAAGCAAATTGAGCTCTAGCCCCTTACCTGCAGCAGAGCAAGGGTCCAGGTTGCACGAGCGGTACTTGACACGGATGCCCTCGCAGTAGGATCCGCCGTTGGCAGGCACTGGGTCGGTGCATTCCCGCTTGGCCAGCTGCACCCCACCACCGCACGTCCGTGAGCACTGCCCATAGGGTGCCCACTTCGCCCAGCCGCCGTCCACCTGTGGGGATGCGGTGGGATGAGATGCTACATCCCCTTCACCGCCGGCTCCATCCCGAGCCCGGGCTCTCCAGACTCAGAGCCACCCTTTCACAAGCAAAACTTCTGCCGGCTACCCCCAAACCTGCTCAGGGCTGGATGGAGCGAAGCAGCAGCATCCCTCCTTGAGAAATATGCAACACTCAAGGGACCTCCATCTCTTTTCACATCAGTGTCCCCCCACCGCCGGGTCCCCAGCACGAGAAGGCAGGGGATTGCTCCGCCAGCACCCATGCAAAAACTCCGGGTAACCCCACGGGATGTTTTTGGGGCTCACGGTGCCAGTACTCACCCTGTACTTACTGATGTTATGCCTCTCAACGCAGGCACCCTTCAAGCAGAAGCGTCCCTCGCCGCAGCCGGTGCCGTCCGCCCAGGGGAAGTGACGGGTTTGGCAGACGATCTGCCCCCGCGCTTTGCCCGTGCACCAGAGCTTGGCACAGTACTGCATGTACGGGCAGGGCTTGGAGCCCACGCCGAAGGCCAGCTCGCATTGCTGGTTCAGGCTGTAGCTCGTCCCCGGCAGGTCTTCAGGCAGCGGGATGGGTTTGGCAGGCTGGTCCAGCAAACAATCTCCTACAGGAACAGGGATGGAGAGGGTCTACCGGGTCCTGGGGGGTTGTACGGATTGGTGTGGGGAGGGAGAGCATCGCTGCGGGGAGGGGAGGGATGGCTGCCGGTAATTCGGCTAAAGCTATCCCAGCCGCACGCTGCCAGTGGGACCCGCTGCTACCCCGGGGATGCCCTCGAGGTCAGCTGCATCCCAGACCCAAGTGACTCCGTCTCTTGGTGACGTTGGTGGAGCCGTGCTGGCAGCCTCAGACATCATTGCCAGGGACACCCCGGCACCGACGAAGCCCGGCCGGTGCAGAAACGCTCCCAAACTCTCCATTTCTTTCTAACTTTGTTTGCAGAGGGGGGTGAAGAGTTGCTCTACAGCCCATCCACCTTTCCCAGTAACCAACCCCAGGGACAGATCCTGCTCCCACGGGACAGGGACACAGGTAAGAGGGTGAGGGGTGCAGGAGGGCTCACCGTGGCCGCTGTCGAGGAAATCG